TCGACGGTGGCTTCGGGGCTCTGGAGCTGCTCCAGGCACCGAGCAGCCTCGGTCTTCGCTTTTATCCCTTCCTGCAGCGCGCTAATGAGCTTATCTGCTCCTTCTGGGATGTAGTGTAAGCACAGGAGTCGGTGTATATTTTACCTGCAAGTGGCCTTAACGTTTAAGTGGCGGTTACCCAAAGTATCGTTTACTCCTTTTACGGGTTTTTTTGGCGCATTAAAGCAGTTCTCCGCTTAGGTGTTTATTACTGTGAGAGGGCTGCAGAGCCTGCAGGCTGTCAGATTTTTGAATCTTGGATCAACAGTCGCCGCAGCGGGATGCAAAGGTGGGTTTGGCTTGGCCATCTGCAGTCTGCAGGGGCAGCTACGGGTGCGTCAGGCTGAACCCGTGTGTGTCTGTTATTCCAGGAGGCTGGGTACGTGAAATGGTATTTTGGTTCTATTAAAGCCATACCTGCTTCTGTCTGACCAAGTGGGGCTTTTTTTTTTTTTTGTAATAGACCTGTATTGAAGTCTTAAAGTAGCTATCAAAGCCATTGCCGTTTGGAAACACTCTGGAGTGGCCTGCCTGGGACACGAGACCTGAAGAAAAATCACCCTGACCTTGTAGCTTCTTTAGTAATGCCCTGTGATGTGCGTTTGTCGACGAGCTGCAATATTACATGTTCTAGTAACAGTAATGAATTATAATGGTAATTGTGGGCTTTTAAATGTCAAAGTTGTTTGAGTTTGCAGTACTTTAATGTGGATCTCGCTGAAATGTCAGTACACCTCATGAATTTTGTTTGCTCTTGAGTTCTCTTTTTTTTGTGGCTGCAAATTTTTCACCTTACGTTAGACCAAGTGTCAACCTGGTTTAATAAAATTCTAACAGATCTATGGTTTCTTTTGACTTCTAAACTGTGGGCAGCACTGGTTACCCTACTTCTGGTGTTACTTTCTAAAACACTGTGGCTGCGTGGAATTAAGCAGCCAGGAAATACATTTTGTGATGGATACTTTTCTCTTTCTCCACACGTTAATGTTACATTGTGCCGCGAAGGTGCTTGCAGTTTGGTTGTGATGAGGGGGACCAGAAATGACCAGGCAGCTGTCTGCGAGGGGAAGCTAGAGCATCAGCCAGTAGCTCTGCTGAGCTTCCAACAGGTCAGTAGCCCCATAAGCTGAGGAGTAATGTATGTTAAATTATAATTCTACATACTTGATACTTATCCAGGGCAATAATTGGTGGCAGAAAAATCAGCCCATTGTTTAGAAATGCCTGTAGGCAGGGGGCCGTCTTCCATTTTAACCTTTTCTTCGAATGAGAGCAGAGGTGGTGTAGTTGAGATTCATTGTGCAGGCTTAGATCTCAGTCTTTTTTCTCCAAAGCACATAGAACACATGGTAAACAATCGATAAAACTACCTGTCGTGCCATTTGCACGAAGGGAAGAAAAACGTAAGTTTTGAACGTGCTTAAAAGCAGATTCTGAATTTAATCGCACTTGGGCACCAGCGTAGAAGTGTAAGAAACTGTTCTGATGTTTTCCCGCAGGAAGAAGTCAAAGCAGCTATGAGCTGCTGCGCTCCCGGAAAACTCTGACTGCTTTCTTCTGGCTTTTAGAATCTTCTCCTAAAAGAAGTGGTTGCGTTCAAACTTACAGCGTTCATTATTGTGATTGACTTCCTTGTTTACCAAGGAAAGTCAAGCTTTGAGGCCTGGATTTTATTCAGGCTTTTCAATGTAATTGTCGGTGTGTACGTGCGTGTTTCTGGAGAGGGTGAAAACTGCACTAATATTGTCAGGTGTGCGAAAACCGGTCTAGTTCTGCGAGGTTGAGGAGGATACAGTTTGTTATAGTGCTTTACTGTGGGGCGCTGTAAATTTAAGCTTCGCTGATACGTTCTCTAATACAAGCTGATTCCCCATTGTGGATATTCATTCCAGTGTAGCCGTAAAGGTCTTTGTGGTATATACAGGTCTTGGTTAACTCCGAGGTCCTGCCTTAAATTTAAAAAAAAAAAAAAAAAAAAGATAAGTTTCCCTACCTGTGTTGAGTTGAACTGGTCAAAATAATCTTTTCCCCAAGCTTTCAGAACCTGCTTGCTTTGAGAAATCAACTTGGGTGCCAGTTGTTCACCTTGGTTTGAACTGCTACATGAAGCCGTGCTGACTCAGGAGCAATGTTTTAATTGTACACATGCATTTAGCGCTTGAGACCTCTTCTAGTAATTGTTGCAGAATATATTTATAACTTAGTTTCACACAGTTAGTTCAGAATTTACACGGGTAACCTCTATTTCAAAGGAGACCTATAAGAAATAAGCTATTTTAAAAAAATTACATCATCTTGGAAGCCATCCGGGATGTCTGGTATTATGTCTTCATTTATTCAGCCTTTTCCCCTCGAAAAAAAACATATGGGCAAACTACTTCTGCTACACGACTTAAACACTAAGTATCAACATCAATTTCCTTCCAAAGCTTGTGCGTTAGCGAGAACGTACCAAGACTCATGCTGGAGGAAAGCATGAGTTCAGTGGTATCACCCACAACGATGGAAAATCCTTTTCCTGGAAGAACCGTGTAGAAACACGAACTGGAGGAGAGTGTCCGAACCCTTATTGCAGCAGTTGTGTGAGGTCTTGCAGGGGAGATGTTCCTTGGTTCTGGTAGAAGCAACGCTTTTCCCTTTGGGCTCGGTGTGCCGAGAAACCACCTCTTCCCCCAAGCAGAACACCTTCGCCTTGTTAAATCGTACTCTGTACTCTTCAGGGAATTTATTACCTGATGTCAGGAATAATGAGATCTGTTAGTTTTAGCTCTGTGGGAAAGCCTGTCATTTCCAACTGGCTGTTAGAATTGTGCTTGCAATTAAATGGTTCCTCATCCTGAATATGTAGCAATTTTTTTTTCCGATTTTAAATATTAGACAATAATTTAATTATTTGCCATTAATACCTCTCTGTGATGCAAACCTAGCTTTGGTTTGAGTAACAACCCGTTATATTCTCACTGTGTGGTTGGAGCTGATTGTAAATCAGGCTGCCGTTCATGCAGTATCTCAGCTGGCCTTGCTGCTCAGACCTTCAGGAGAGGTCCACTCTCTGAATTATTAATAATGAATTGGTCCGTGTGTTGTAATATGTTAAGTAGTGTATTGGCCTGGGGTGATCTTCCAGTTGACACGAGTTGCATAAAGATGCTTCCGTGGCT